CGATTTTGACGGAATTTTTTTTGACAGGTAGCTGATGTAATAAGGAGTAACTTAGGCTACTTTTATTTCAGAAAAATAAAGTTAAATTCCACGCTGACGAAGTCGCGGTAACAGATTATAAGAAATAAATAGGTACATATTAAGTTTAAAATAAAAAACCAAAAGTCGCACATATATTTATTACAAGTTGATAAATTTATATATAATTGTTACATAATGTATATCATGATATATAGAATATAATTACAAATAATTTATTTATTTTCATAATAAGCTGACACCGCAAATGTTGTTATATGATATAAATTAAAATCGCTGTTTAAAAATTGGGGTTGATGCTAGAAGGATAAAAACTTAGGGTTGTATGTATTTTTCAATCCTAAATAATAATAAAATGAAAATAAAATATTATATCTAAAAATAAAAATATATATATTTAGGGGTGGATATCCCTTACCACTTAGGGGTATGAAAAATAGATAGTAGCCGATTCTCAGACCTACTGAATGCATATAAAATTTCATAAAAATCGATCAAGCCGTTTAGGAGGAGTATGGTAACTAACATTGTGACACGTGAATTTTATGTACATAAGAATTTTATATATAAGATTGGCATACGAAATATCATTATCTAAGTCGAATATATTGTTGAAGGAGTCATTTATTTATGTTGTTAATTTATTTTTATATTTACTTCATTACATAGTATAAAACAAAGTCGCAGTCGCTGTCTGTCCGTCCCTATGTATATTTACATAAAAAAAACAATATATTTATATTAGTTGTCTAGTACCCGTAACACAAGCTCTGCTCAGCTAATGCCTATACCCATAACACAAGCTCTGCTCAGCTTGGGATTAGATGACGCTGTATGAACTGTCCTGGGTCATTATCATTACATAGTATAAAGCAAAGTCGCTGTCGCTCTCTGTCCGTCCATATGTTTGCTTAAATCTTTAAAACTACACGAATTTTGATGCAGTTTTTTTTAATACATACAGTGATTCTAGAGGACGGTTTATATATATATATAATACATTTGTACCCGATGCCGATGCGAGTAGCTAGTATATGATAAACGTGCATGGCAATAGTTGTTCAGGCACGGGATTTTCATTTAATGTTAGACATAGACACCTATAAGTTATATAAGTGCCTATGTTTGACATTAAATGAATATCCCGATGAATTAAATTAAATTTCTTTTTTTAAAAGCCAGTTTATTTACATTGAAACATTTTTTCTATGACAAACAAACAAATGAGCATACGGCTCACCCGATGGTAAGTGATTACCGCCGCCCATGAGCACCCGCAACACCAGGGGAATTGCAAGTACATTGTCGGCCTTTTAAAAAGGAATAAGCTCTTTTCTTGAAGGTTTCAATATCGTATCGGTTCGGAAATACCACTGCTGGAAGGTGATTCCACAATGTGGTTGTGCGTACCTTATACAATGTAAATTAACTGGCTTATAAAAAATCTATAGGCATATATAGGTTGCTATGTTTAACATTAAATGAAAATCCCGATAAATTAAATATTTTTTTTTAAAGTCAGTTTATTAACATTTAGAAATAGAAATAGAAATAATCTTTATTCAAATAAACTTAATAAAAGCACTTTTGAATAGTCAAGTTTTTTGATTCTACCTCTTATTTGTTGTATTGTATTGTATACCCTAAACAATGGAAATAAACTAGCTTTTAAAAAAGAGACATTCGGTTGAATCTAGCACAAGTGTACAATGTAAATTAACTGGCTTATAAAAAATCTATAGGCATATATACGTGCCTATGTCTAACATTAAATGAAAATCCCGATGAATTAAATAAAATTTAATGATGATGATGATTTGGATGATGAATTAAATGAAAAAAAAATCGGATTAAAATACAATGTAAATTAAGTGCCTTAAAAAAAGAAGTTTAATTTCTTGCCAGTTATTATTAATTGAACAGGATGGTAGCGAAACATTTTTACACAAAAACTTGACTTTCATAATCGGATAAAATGTCCTGTATGACTAAATCATTTTTAATTTAATTTATCAGTTTATGCAGATATGATTCAGTAATGAGTACTCAACATTTTACCTAGTTTAGTTTAATCGTGAATCATACATACAAAAACAATAGGAATATAAAAAAAATAAATTAATTGAATTCGATGACAAATGTTATAAATATATATTATTAATACAATGGGTTGAGACACGAATTATTTAATCTATACATATAAATAAAATTGGAGTGTCTGTTTGTAATATCGAAATAACCGTCTTTTACTACATGCATATGAATATAAATACGGTACATTTATCATAATAACATTTTTTACAATTTTTGTCTGTCTGTCTGTCGGTCTGTTTGTTCCGGGTAATCTCTGAAATGGTTGGACCGATTTCGAAGAGACTTTTTTTGGCAGGTAGCTGATGTAATAAGGAGTAACTTAGGGTACTTTTATTTTAGAAAAATAAAGTTATATTCCACGCGGACGAAGTCGCGGCAACAGCTAGTAGAAAATAAGAAGAAAACCACTGAGTTTTAAATTCCAATAATTATAAATAGCAATTATATAATTCAAAATGAATAATTTCAAGTCATATTGATGGATTGGTGTTTATCAATATTGTCGACAAGTATTTTTACCACAGGATTACAATTATTGTTATTTTTATACACTTGTATCATAAAAGTTTTATGTGATAAGATTCCACATGCATTCTTATTGTTAATCGTGAAAGTTATCTGCTTAACTTTATTTTTTAAATTCAAATTTAGTCATACTTTAGTAAAACAGTCTTTGAGACAAAACTAATAATTTTAAAATTTAGTTAATTTAAGTTTATCATTAAGTAAATAGTAGAAAATAAAGTCGCTGTCGCTGTCTGTCCGTCCCTATGTATGCTTCAAAATCCGTTGCGTAGTTTTAAATCTTTAAAACTACGCAACGGATTTTGAAGCGATTTTTTTTAATAGATAGAGTGATTCTAAAGGAAGGTTTATATATACAATACATTTACAGTCGTGCGAAGCCGGGGCGATTAGCTAGTATAATATAAAGATACGAAGAACTGGCAAGAGCTCCAACGACAAGGGCGTGGCCCTTGAATTAAAAATGAATGAATTTTGCAACAATAAAAACACTTCTTATTGGTAACTAGTGACATATCATAAGAGTCTGTAATAGACCTACATGAATAAAGACATTTTGAAATTTAGAATTTTGAAGTGGGGTGCCCCAGTAATCGCCCGAGTGTTCATAATTTTGAAAGATAGTAAAAAGTATGTAAATATATTTCTCAAGTCAGCAATACCATTACTTCAGGAAATTATATATCTATATAATTTATTGCACTTGCAACATTAGTTAATTAAGATTATTATACCAAAAATTTTACTGTGATGGATTTATCTCTGAAAGAGATCTCTTCCAGCCCACACAACGCAGGTGATATTTAGAAGGCAATGTTGCAAACATTGATTAGACTTTTTGCTTTTTCAATAGCATATGCTGGTGGTCACTCTATTCTCACAAATTTGAATTTAAATGAATCTGTGTTATTGTAAACATGTACAACATTTATTTGAAAAGAATACGAGCTGAGTTTCTTGTCAGTTCTTCTCATCTCGAAATCATTCCGAACTGACGGTTGATATATCATAATAGTCTGTAATAGACCTACATGAATAAAGATATTTTGAATTTTATATATGTATATAAAAACAAGCTGAGTTTCTTGTCAGTTCTTCCCATCTCGAAATCATTCCGCACTGACGATATTTGACATGTCATAAGAGTATGTAATAGACCTACATGAATAAGATATTTTGAATAGGCACTAGTGTTGTAACGATATACATACAATATTCTAATATATGCTTAAAATGTAGATATATATATATATAAAGTATAGAAATAACAACAAAACGTAAATGCATATTAAATACTAGCTGTCCCGGCAAACGTTGTTTTGCCATATAAATTAATAACGCTATAAAAAATTTAGGATTGTAAGTATTTTTGTATGTTGTATCATAAAAAAATAAAAACTAAAAATTTTGTCTAAAAAAAAATTACCCTAACATTTAGGGGGATGAAAAGTAGATGTTGGCCGATTCTCAGACCTACTCAATACGCTCACAAAATTTCATGAGAATCGGTCAAGCTGTTTCGGAGGAGTATGGGAACGAAAACTGTGACACGAGAATTTTATATATAAGATAATCAATAAATAAATGCTATTTATAGACATAATAACAAAATCCGCTCTTTCTTTTGTTAAACAGTTACTTCAGTCTGTAGACTGATATAGTATTATGAATGTATATGACATTCCAATGCGCTTTAGGTATATGAGATAGTAAATATATATATATTATGATTAATTTACAAACGTCCGGCAAACAAACCGCAGTGATACCTATACTATATATATATAATCATTACATAGTATAAAACAAAGTCGCTGTCGCTGTCAGTCCGTCCCATTGTATGCTTAAATCATTAAAAACTACGCAACTGATTTTGAAGCAGTTTTTTTTAATATATAGAGTGATTCAAGAGGAAGCTTTATATATATAATACATGTACACCCGAGCAAAGCCGGGGCGAGTAACTAGTAATATTACAAAGCTGAAGAGTTTGTTTGTTTGAACGCGCTAATCTCAGGTACTACTGGTTGGAATTGAAAAATTATTTTTGTGTTAGATAGTCCATTTGTCGAGGAAGTCTTTATGCTATATAACATTACGCTGCGACCAATAGGAGCGGAGCTGCAATGAAGAATATACCAAAAGATAGGGAAATGAATTGCAGTTGGAGTTACGCCGGTCCAGCTAATTTGGAAATGAAACTACCAGGTTTTTGAAAATTTTGCATTTAAATAAATAATTTCGATTCTCTATATTCGCATGCCGACTGAGTTATATTCTACGTACTAAAGTAAATTATACTTAAATTAACTTAAATTACAGATCTGACAGTTTTTTTACGTTTACGGGTTTCTTTGCTTCTTACCAATGTTGGAAGCTTCTTCCATCGTGTCTGGGAACTTGGAACCATGGGTCTCTGGTGTGATGAATATCAAACACCCAGAGAGGAAAGCAAAACTGGCAAATAGTACGAACGGCAGCTGATCCCAGACTGCTCTACCCTGAAAACGAATATAGCGTCATATTTCGATGCGTCCTGATCTGATGGTATACCGCGACTTTGCTTCTAAAGCTAATAGAATAAAAAAAAGGAAAGGAATGTCGCCACAAAGGAAGCAGCAGATATTACTATAAAAGAAAAGATCGGCCTGAAATTTTGCATGCAGGTAGATGTTATGACGTAGGCATCCGCTAAGAAAAAAATTATCCAGGTAACTCGAGTCAACTCGAGTTTTGATTAATTCTACCCCCAAGGGGACAAAATAGGGGATGAAAGTTTGCATGAAACTTTGTCAACTTTAAACCGATCGGGCTGAGATTTTGCATGCATGTGACATAGGCATCCCCTAAGAAAGGATTTTGATAAATTCCACCCCTAAGGGGATAAATTAACGCGAGCGAAGCCGCGGGCAAAAGCTAGTATATAATATAATGATAACAATGTTCCACAGATATATATTTTTCAGACACTAATCACTATAACTTAACATTATCATAGGTGTCGTATAAAAACAGCAATTAGAAGATAAAGGTTATTTGATACTAGAAAAGCGGGGAAAAATGTTGGGGCACTTGATACGACACGACGAACTAATTAACAACATTATTGAAGGAAAAATAGATGGAAAGAGAGGAAGGGGAAGACCGAGACACAGCTATATCAAGCAAGTTAAAGAAAAAGTTGGAGTCGTGTCGTATCAACAGCTAAAAAGACTGATAGAAGATCGTGGAAAGTGGCGGGAGCTCCACCGACAAGAGCACAGCTCTTAAATTATGAATGAATGAATGATACTAGAACTTACCAGCGCAGGAGTCAGTGGTGCCAGTATGGAGCCAATTCTGCCCATCATAGATGAGAAGGCGAAGAGACTGTGTCGGTACTTGGTGGGGTACAATTCTGCAGTGTACACATACACCGACGTCATGACCATTGCGATGCAATATGTACCAATCAGGTACAGCGCCAATGATGCTGCATATTGATCTGAAACAGTCACAATATGTTGATATAACTGTTTGACGACCTCGGTGGTCTAGCGGTTATCACACCGCTTTACGACCGATGGTCGCAGGTTCGATTCCTCGCACGGCACAAACATTTGTATTCATGAGTATGATTGTTTGTATAGACTTCTTTTTAATGCGAAACATGGGTTATAAGGGGTTGGAAGGGAGGATGAAAGGTTGTATGAAAGCGTCGTCATTTTTAAAGCTAGAAACTTATTTTTCAGGCTGTTGATTAAATATAAACAAATATGACTACGAAAGTTTATAAAAAATTAAGGGGGTAAAATAAAATAGGGGATGAAAGTTTTTATGGAATTTCGTCATTTTTGAAGCTAGAACTATGAATCTTTTTTTATTTGGTTTTTATTGGGTTAGATTATTAAATATTTTTTCATTATTTGGTCAAGGTCAGTAATTGACGAAGTCGTGGGTCCAGATAGTATCTAAATAATTTTCATTTCTCATATTTAAGTACTCATCTATACATATAACTAAAATTGGAGTGTCTGTTTGTAATATTGAGATAATCGTTTTTTACTACATGCATATGAATATAAATACGGTACATATATCAAAATAACATTTTTTTCAATTTTTGTCTGTCTATTTGTGCCGACTAATCTCTGAAATGGCTGGACCGATTATGCCGGACTTTTTTTGGCAGGCAGCTGATGTATTAAGGTGTAACTTAGGCTCTTATATTAGAACAATAAAGTTAAATTCCACGCGGACGAAGTCGCGAGAATAGCTACTGCTTAATAATTGAAAGGAAATACAAGTAGACAATACAAACATCGTCTCATCCAAGTCTCATACAATGTAGACATACCATACGAGACGATAAGAACAACACTTTGTTGCAATATTATCATACTGTTATCATAATGAACGAATTCATATAAAAATTTAATGACATACATATCTAAACACTATCTTTTATAGATATACGTTTTATATGAACGATGGTGATATGTAAATCCTAGATGATATTAATAAAAAACTAGAATTAATTGATTATAAGAAAATCATCAGTGCTAAAAGAGATATTAGTAAAATATAGATAATAGACTAATCACATAATTCCCAGGAATTAGGTAATTCACAAACTGTAATTCACAATCACTAATATATTTATTACATTAATACATAACACAGTAAGTCCTCGGAGAGAGCCTGGGGATCTGTAGTACAGGTCGACTCAGTTCAGGCTCCAGACTCTCACAAGGAATTACTTGTAAGTTAAATACATACTTTTGTTACTTTGTTTAATATTGTAAGTTTCCTTGTGAGCAGTAAATAAAGATTATTATTATTATTATTAATTATTTAGTTATCTTAAAAATGCATCTACTAGTAGTAGTCAAGGTTGCAATGTAATTTGCTCATAAAACGATCAAATATAACTCTCTTATTCCTTCAATAAATTGAAACTAATATCGGGAGATGAACTCGCAAATATCTAATCAGCATAAACGTCATTAACTACGCACTGTATGAATATAATAGAATAGAATAGAAAATAATTTATTCAAATAAACTTACTTTATGCACTTTAGAATAGTCATAACAATTTTTTTTTATCTACCTCTCGTTCGGAAAACTGTCTCATCACAAAAAGAACGAGCAAGAAACTTGTGTGTTGCGCTTTTAAATAATCCTTGTAAGTTTACATTTACAAGTCGAAACGTGTGAATACGAACTACCAACCAGCACTAATTTATTTGTGTCAAATATAAATATACAATAAGATTAAATCAGTCGTAGTGATAAGAGCAGACCAGTCCCTACAAGCAGCACTCGTTCACGAGTTTGACGGATGAATATAAAACTGTAGACTTGGAAGATATGCGCCATACATAAGTTAGAAATGTTGCAATACAAACTAAAAAGCTTGAGTTTATAATAGTATATTATTTTTATAAAAAAAAATATTATTAGTAGAGACAACTTGTACCGCAATCGCATATGCCTGCTTACGATGCAATACACAATTGCCGACACATGTAATTTCACCTCATAATGCATTTAAACTAATTACATTAGTTTTGACGATAATATCAGTGTTCGTGTAGCATTCAACCAAGGCGGTTTTATTTAGCAATAACACCTCATCAATCAATCAATCAATATATATATATAACTCTGGTGACTGACATAGTGATCTATCAACGGACAGCCCAAACCACTGGACGGATCGGGCTGAAATTTGGCATGCAGGTAGATGTTATGACGTAAGCATCCGCTAAGAAAGGATTTTGATTAATTCTATCCCCAAGGGGATAAAATAGGGGATGAAACTTTGTCAATTTTAAATCGATCGGGCTGAGACTTTGCATGCATAAAGCTAATATGACGTAGGCAGATTTTGATAAATTCCACCCCTAAGGGGATAAATTAACGCGAGCGAAGCCGCGGGCAAAAGCTAGTCAATCAATAAATCAACTAATATCATTATCACGAAACTATGGGTTTAAACCCCACACAAACTGTTACTATGTAATTTTTTGCAAATTTAAATATTATATGAACTATAAATGTAACAATTACGATTAACTTAGGCAATCGGTTTATAGGTACCACTTCCGGTTTTTCAAGAATAGTGGGTCACAAGATGGCGACGTATGAACAGTGACTCGAATAAAAAAGGGCATTATACGAGCAGCCAGCGAACGAAACGGACGAGTTTCAAAGTAAAAATTCTAATAAAGTAAAGTGACTGAAAATGGCTCCTACGTGTATCAAGTCTGCTGACTGTGACGATGATGGTTTTGTCACGGTACAAAAGAAGAGGCGTACAAAGAGGGTCAATCGAAACAATTGTGGCACAGCACCGACTGGGCCCAACTTCTTGTTGCGTGCCGCTACACCGACCACGGCGATGTACCTATCCCGCCTACACTACGCTACCAAGAAACAGGACATTGTTGACTACATCTGGACCAAAAACATCCTGACATTAATGGTGACGCAGCTAGAATCGAGTCAGAACGCGAACTTCAAAGAATTCATGGATCGGGTTCCCACCAACATGCTGCATGCTCATGAAGGAGGAGTACTGACCGAAGGGGATGATCTATCGGCGCTACCGTGGCAGATTGCCTTCGTCAGTACCGTGACCATAAAGACAATTTTATTTACATTTTATTATTATTTCTTATGTATGTTAGTCTGTAAGGTATTTATAATATGGCCTATGTAGACTGAATTAAATAAATAAGTGTATTAATGTACATATTAAAGAATAAAATATCTAACTCACCTTCAGGCATAAAGATATATCCAATTTGACACGCGGCACAAACCCAAAAGGCTATTATAAGCACTGGCTTCCTCCCAATGAGATCCAAAAGTATCACAGCAGTCCAATACCCGGGTATCTGTGCAGCGGACACGGCTACGTAATTTAGATATCTGTTACCGGATAGATTCACGGCATTGATTGACAATCCGTAGTAGATGAACGTGTTAGTTATCCACCAAATCGGTGACACCAAGCATCGAATCAGGATCTGCTTGTGCCGGAACACCAGCACAATTAGCCACGGCTCGTTCTTTTTTTCCAAACTTTCGTCTTGCGCTCTCTTTTTCTCTGCTTCGTTTGTAGCTCTTAATGCTTCTAGAGACTGCTCTGACAGTTTCTTGCCATTCACTTTTGCGATTTCTTTTAGGACTGTTTCGGATTCTGCGTAGCGACCTTTGCTCATGTACCATCGGACGGATTCCGCCATTATCCAGAAATAGCATAATGTCCACAGCATCGGTACATAGAGAACTAAGGTCAGCTGTCGCCAATTTGGGACGCCCCATGCTATAAGACCCAATGTAATTTGGCCCACAGAAAAGAAGGTATTCATAGTCGCGCCGGCAGCCACACGGAAATTTGGGCCCACGATTTCCATCACTGTAAAAATATATTTTTTTTATAATTACTTAATGGGGACAAATGACCCCATTGTAAGCAATGTACCATGTCAGGTTGAGTCGCAGTTCCCCCAGGAAACGCGATAAATTTGCCACGATGGCCTAACTGACCTGACCTCATGCTCATCTTATCATCCTCCACTGGTGCCCCGCCAGCGTAAACCGTTAGCGCAGGCGGGTGCACCATTCCATTACGTAATTAAAAAAAAACTTAGTTCAATATTTGTCAGGATTATGGCAATCTGTTGTAAATAAATACTTAAATGATGACAGTAAAATATAAAATTTCTGTCCCAAAAACAGTTCTCACTATCAATCAGGGAATCATCATAATTACATGATATATATTTGCATAAAAAAAAACAATATATTTATATTAGTTGTCTAGTACCCATAACACAAGCTCTGCTCAGCTTGGGATTAGATGGCGCTGTATGAACTGTCCTGGGTCATTGTCATTACATAGTATAAAACAAAGTCGCTGTCGCTGTCTGTCCGTCGCTAAGTATGCTTAAATCTTTAAAACTACGCAATGGATTTAGAAGCGGTTTTTTTAATAGATAGAGTGATTCAAGAGGAAGGTTTATATATATAATACATGTACACCCGTGCGAAGCCAGGGCGAGTAGCTAGTTTTTTAATAATAATATCCGAGGACAATTCACACAGCGCCATCTACCAACAAGATAAGTAGAGCTTGTGTTATGTATACTAACCAACTTATATAAATACATACATACATTTTTTTGTAAATACATACATAATATACATAGGAAACAACCAGGTTAAGACAAAGAATGATACTCATGAATACAAGTGTTTGCGTGCGAGGAATCGAACTCGCGATCATCGGAAGCAAAGCGGTGAGCTAAACCACTACACCACTGACACTGTCATAAAGAATACCATATGTATGACCTCCATTAAATAAACTGTACAGTTTATTTGATGGAGGTCATACATATCTTCTTGGTCTTGTAAGTGTACACTTACAAGAATCTCTAAAACATTATTTATATAGTTAATTATTGGAATTTATGTACATCGAATACAGTAGTCTTTGTTTATGTATGTACGTCACGTGTGAGTAATTTAATCAATATATGATAACCAAATTATTGATAGTGATGTCACAACGAGTGATATCACAACCTGGCGCTGACACGTTGGTAAGTATTTTAGGAATCTGCTGATTCTTTGCTAATTTTTTTTTATGTAACTGAAATAATAATAATATGATCCATAGACAATTATTTAGCAATAATTCATTCGTATAAAGCGATTTAGTCCCACAGCCTTTCCCGTAATCCCGTAATGTTTGTTTTTTCTTTTCTTAATTTTCATTTTGAAATATTTATAGAAACATCCAGAACGTTTGTGGTGAGAAAATATGAAGAAATTGCATGTAAAATAATGAAAACAACAATTTTATCTTCCGATAATCTTCCGATACAAACTGTTTGTACCTATCGTAAGGTTTTTTTTTGTGAATGATAGTGGAATGGTGCACCCGCCTGCGCTAATGGTTTACGCTGGCGGGGCACCAGTGGAGGATGACAAGATGAGCATGAGGTCAGATCAGTTAGCCCATCGTGGTAAATTCGCCATGAATTTATCACGATGGTTTCCAGGGGGAACCGCGTGGAGGTCAACCTGACATGGTACATTGCTGTAATGGGGTCATGAGTCCACATTACTAACAATGCCCTTCCCACCCATATTGAAGGGTTAGTTGAGATATGTATTGCGTAACTGAACTTCAAAAACCTTTGACATATTAGTTAATTCTGAGTCGTAATGGAGTTCACGAGGTCAGCTAGTTGATAAATAATTGTTAAATGTTTTTATTAACATAATCTGAATAATAATAATAATAAAAATGTTGCCATCTCCTCTCCTTAAGAGGGGAGATGAGAATTTTTGGAAAAAATAAAAAAATAAATTAAGTCAGAACAATTCACACTCCGCACGTCGTAAGAGCTTGTATTATGGGTACTAGACAATTGATACTTAAATATATTTTTTTGTAAATACATATATGCATTAATTATTTGTGAAATATTTGAGCGATATTTCATAAATCTAAATATATATAACTCATAGGTGACTGACATAGTGATCTATCAACGCACAGCCCAAACCACTGGACGGATCGGGCTGAAATTTGGCATGCAGGTAGATGTTATAATGTAGGCATCCGCTAAGATAGGATTTTGATCAATTCTACTCCCAAGGGGATAAAATAAGGGATGAAAGTTTGTATGAAACTTTGTCAATTTTATACCGATCGGGCTGAGACTTTGCATGCACAAAGCTACTATGACGTAGGCATCTTCTAAGACAGGATTTTGATAAATTACACTTCTAAGGGGATAAAATAGGGGATGAGAGTATCATCTTAGATTTTTGAGTGATTGAACTGAAATTAAAGATTGGAGCAACTATGATGAAGACGTTCACTTAAATAGGATTTTGATAAATTCAACCCCCATGGTGATAAAATAAGGGATGATACAGGATGTAAATATGTTAGTTTGAACCTATCAGTACCTAATGGAACGAATAAATTAAGACGAACAAAATAATTCTTTAGGATACTTTTATTTTAGAAAAATAAAGTTAAATTCCACGCGGACGAAGTCGCGGGAACAGCTAGTAACAAATATAATAATTTTATTTAATCAAAAATAACGAAACGGTTGCCGTAGCCTATTTTCTTTACCGGCGTATTAGTCTGATATATAAATTGTATTTTGTTTATGTCAACCAGATTTGAATTCACAACCTTTCAGTGTAAATAGAGCAACAACCACTAAACCAAAACGCTATAGTTATAAATTAAACTTACGCAATATATAAGCGCAGGAAAATCCAGCTGAACCAAAAGTAGCTTCAACGAACTCGGATATGACGAAGCCAACGTAGGTGTCTGCGAAGTAGCGAAGCACGCCCAGCCAGGCCGTGTTGAAGGCGTTGAGGGTGAGGGCGGTGCGTCTGCCCCACCGGTCGGACACGAACCCGGTGATGGGCAGGGCGGTCAGGGTGCCCACCGTGCGGATCGAACCGATCAGGGAGCGCAGCCACTCCTCGCAGCCGAGATCATACTGTTCGAATTCAAAATCAAAATATCTATATCAGTACGACCTCGGTGGTATAGCGGTCTAGCACGCCGCTTTACGTCCGATGGTCGCGGGTTCGATTCCTCGCACAAACATTTGTATTCATGAGTATGATTGTTTGTATCGGTCTGGGTGTTTTCTACGTATAATATGTATGTATTTACGAAAAAAATTATCTATGTATTAGTATCAGTTATCTAGTACCCATAACACAAGCTTTCTAGCTTAACTTGGGTCTAGATGGCGCTGTGTAAATTGTCCTGAGATCATTATTATTATTATTATTATATATTTCTATTATAGACTGCTACATCTAATTCAAATTCAAATTCAAGATATCTTTATTCATGCAGGTCAACTATAGACTCTTATGATATGTCAAATCTACCGTCAGTTCGGAGTGCAGGTAGATGTTATGACGTAGGCATCCGCTAAGAAAGGCTTTTGATTAATTCTACCCCCAAGGGTATGAAAGTTTGTATGAAACTTTGTCAACGTTATACCGATCGGGCTGAGACTTTGCATGCATAAAGCTACTATGACGTAGGCATCCCCTAAGAATAGATTTTGATAAATCCCACACCTAAGGAGATAAATTAACGCGAGCGAAGCCGCAGGCAAAAGCTACATAGTTTCATAAAAAACTTACATCATAAACTACAGACAGAGTGTTCTCATAGACTCGTTCCTCGCAATCGAGGAGCACGTCCCTGTCGAAGAGTTCCGCCGGACAGGTGTCCCGGGGAGGTATTTCAGTTCTGTTCCCGAACCGCTGGCAGCTAGAGGTGGTGTCCGGAACAGCGTCCAGGATCCAGGAGGGAGCAAACACGGGTTCCTCTGCATCGCATTCCGGGATCAGACATCTGAAAACAAAACATAATGTCTTAATCTTAATCATACTGAAATAACATTACAACTGAATCCCAAAAATAATTACATAGTATAAAACAAAGTCGCGGTCGCTGTCTGTCCGTCCCTATGTATGCTTAAATCTTTAAAACTACGCAACGGATTTGAAGCGGTTTTTTTTTAATAGATAGAGTGATATAAGAGGTTGGTTTATATATGTAATACATGTACACCTGTGCGAAACCGGGGCGAGTAGCTAGTCAAAATATAAACATACTAGCTACCCGCAGCTGACAGTGTAAATGTGATCCAGACACAGTTATCTATAATCCTATTAAATACTAGGTATGCATAGTTATCAAATATTTGAAGGTAACATATGTAAGTACACATATGATAACCCAGTAATTTCAAATTGATGTGTATTTCAATGTAGGTACAGATATTAAAGACGTTTTAACAATAAATTAATGTATACTACGTGACGTATTATAAAATTAACTTTGCCCGCGGCTCCGCTCGCGTTAATTTATCCCCTTAGGGGTGGAATTTATAAAAATCCTTTCTTAGGGGATGCCTACGTCATTGTAGCTTTATGCATGCAAAGTCTCAGCCCGATCGATTTAAAATTGACAAAGTCTCATACAAACTTTCATCCCCTATTTTATACCCTTGGGGGTAGAATTAATCAAAATCATTTCTTAGTGGATGCCTACGTCATAACGTCTACCTGCATGCCAAATTTCAGCCCGACGCGTCTAGTGGTTTGGGCTGTGCGTTGATAGATCACTATGTCAGTCAGTCACCTTTGAGTTATATATATTTAGATAATAAAAAAATAATTTACGAAAATAGGTTTTTAAATATATTTGTAAAAATAATTAATACTTATACATATATAACATATAAGTAGGAAACCGGACAGTTTTCACCTCATCACTGTTTTATTACAAGATGTATATTTTTTATACGATTTTATTATTCTTACTCCACACTAATATTATAAATGCGAAAATAACTCTGTCGCTTTAACGCTAAAACTACTAAACCGATTTAAATAAAATTTGCTACACAGATAGTTTAGACTCTGAGAAAAGACATAGGTTACTTTTTAATGTGAAAAAAGGGTTGTAAGGGGTTGAAAGGGGACATGAAAGGTTGGAAGTATCGTAATTTTTAAAGCTAGGAGCTTGATACTTATATTTTAGGCTGTTGATAAAATATATATAAATATATCATTCAAGGTTTGTAAAAATGTTATCCTCAAGAGCTTATAATGAAATAGGGGATGAAAGTTGTATGGAAATACGAAATTTTTTATGTCTTTTTTGGGTTATATATAACACATGGACTAATATACTCGGGCACAGCTAGTAAGTAAGTATAACGAGAAGAAGTTTTATGGATGATAATGGAATGGCGCACCCGCCTGCGCTAACGGTTTACGCTGGCGGGGCACCAGTGAAGGATGATGAAATTATTAAATCTTTTGATCATGAGGATGTTAAAATTATTAAAATCAATCGGTCATGAGGATGTTAAAATTATTAAATCATTTGATCATGAGGATGTTAAAATTATTAAATCTTTTGATCATGAGGATGTTAAAATTATGAAATCATTTGATCATGAGGATGTTAAAATTATTAAATCTTTTGATCATGAGGATGTTAAAATTATGAAATCATTTGATCATGAGGATGTTAAAATTATTAAATCATTTGATCATGAGGATGTTAAAATTATTAAATCATTTGATCATGAGGATGTTAAAATTATTAAAATCGTTTGATCATGAGGATGTTAAAATTATTAAATCTTTTGATCATGAGGATGTTAAAATTATTAAATCATTTGATCATGAGGATGTTAAAATTATTAAATCATTTGATCATGAGGATGTTAAAATTATTAAATCATTTGATCATGAGGATGTTAAAATTAATAAATCATTTGATCATGAGGATGTTAAAATGATTAAATAATTTGATCATGAGGATGTTAAAATTATTAAATCATTTGATCATGAGGATGTTAAAATTATTAAATCATTTGATCATGAGGATGTTAAAATTATTAAATCATTTGATCATGAGGATGTTAAAATTATTAAAATCAATCGGTCATGAGGATGTTAAAATTATTAAATCATTTGATCATGAGGATGTTAAAATTATTAAAATCGTTTGATCATGAGGATGATGAAATTATTAAATCTTTTGATCATGAGGATGTTAAAATTATTATATCTTTTGATCATGAGGATGTTAAAATTATTAATTAATTTGATCATGAGGATGTTAAAATTATTAAAATCGTTTGATCATGAGGATGTTAAAATTATTAAATCATTTGATCATGAGGTTGTCAAAATTATTAAATCATTTGATCATGAGGTTGTCAAAATTATTAAATCATTTGATCATGAGGTTGTCAAAATTATTAAATCATTTGATCATGAGGATGTTAAAATTATTAAATCTTTTGATCATGAGGATGTTAAAATTATGAAATCATTTGATCATGAGGATGTTAAAATTATTAAAATCGTTTGATCATGAGGATGTTAAAATTATTAAATCTTTTGATCATGAGGATGTTAAAATTATTAAATAATTTGATCATGAGGATGTTAAAATTATGAAATAATTTGATCATGAGGATGTTAAAATTATTAAATCATTTGATCGTGAGGATGTTAAAATTATTAAATCTTTTGATCATGAGGATGTTAAAATTATGAAATCTTTTGATCATGAGGATGTTAAAATTATTCTATAACATCCTAATCTTAATCCTACATACCTCGTATTTATTCTAGAAGTAGTGAATATATATTCGTTGGCGCCCCACGACGCGAATATGACCATGATCACAGCCAGCAGCAGGGTCTTCAATTGAAACAACCCGAATTGTCCCAATTCCCTTATCAGGATCGTATCCAAGTCCACCTTGGACGTCTTGACATCTGTACCAGTGGGTACATGGCCGGTATTAGACATGACGGTAGGAACGGAAATATGATATACAAAAATTGAAGTTCATACGCCGCAAAAATGTACAACATTAATAAATGATTTTTGTATATTTTAATTTGAATTTGATGTACACTGCTATTCACTACTACGACACCAATGAAGCATCTATTGAATTTAAATAATTATTGATTATTTAAACTCATCATCAATCATTATAAAACTTACTTCTACTGATAACAAGGCTGATTATCTGTATAATCATATTTTACGATTATATACTATTTGACGTCTACATATGTATTTCATAATGTGTCATATCAATTTTGTGTTGACGACCTCGTTGGTCTAGCGGTTTAGCAACGGGTTCGATGCCTCGCACGGTGCAAACATTTGTATTCATGACTGTACACGCGACATCGTCCGCGGGGAATTTAACTTTATTTTTCTAAAATGAAAAAAAATCTATATAAAAGTTGCTCTTTTTACATCAGCTACCTGCCAATATAGGTCCCGTCAAATTCGGACCAGCCATTTCAGAGATTAGCCGGAACAAAAAGACAGCCATAAAGACAAAAATTGTAATAAATGTTATTTTGGTGTATGTACCATATTTATATTCATATGCATGTAATAAAAAACCGTCGTTTCAATATTACAAACAGACACTCCAATTTTATTTATATGTGTAGATTACGATTGGCTGTACAGATGTTTTCTATGTAAATTGTGTATGTATTTACAAAAAAAATCTATGTATTTACATCAGTTGTCTATAGCCAGCCCATAGCACAAGCTCTGCTTACCGTGGGACTAGATGGCGCTGTGTAAATTGTCCAGGGTTATTTATTTATAGGTTGCATTTCAATGAAGGTGGTTAGAAACTCCATAACCTCATTCCTCCAGCACCGTTCCACCAACCACCACCACCAAGGAATCGAATCTGCGACCATTAGAAATAAGGTGGTGTGTAAAACATATGAATATATATATTATATATCGACGACCTCGGTGGTCTAGCGGTCTAGCACACCGCTTTACGTCCGATGGTCGCGGGTTCGATTCCTCGCACGGCACAAACATTTGTATTCATGAGTATGATTGTTTGTATCGGTCTGGGTGTTTTCTATGTATATTATGTATGTATTTACGAAAAAAAAAAATCTATGTATTTGTATAAGTTATCTAGTACCCATAACACAAGCTTCAGCTAGCTTAACTTGGGTCTAGATGGCGCTGTGTGAATTGTCCTGAGATTATTATTATTATTATATATATATACGCACATGTCCACGTGTATACGAGTAATCTTTCATTCCTCAGGATTAGGATGTTATGTGTACGTACCCGGTAATTTCACTGCCATATCACACACAAATTCAAGAAGCTATCGATTATAATAATTAAATAATTAAGATATCTTCGTAATCATTACGATTAATAAGATAATTACGATTAGAAAGTAATGTACGAACTCATGCGTCACCTGATTTAAGGTCCGCAGTGGAATAATTACTAAATTCATATTTTTTTTTAGTCATGATAATGGAATGGTGCACCCGCTGGTGCTAACGGTTTACACCGGCGGGGCACCAGTGAAGGATGATAAGATGAGCATGAGGTCAGGTCAGTTAGCCCATCGTGACAAATTAATTTATCACGATGGTTTCCAGGGGGAACCGCGAGGAGGTCAACCTGACATGGTACATTGCTAGCAATGTACCATGTTTATTAGCATACAACGTTATAATTTTATTTTCTCATTGCTTTCTTGATTTAATTGATTGATTTTAGAAATATGAAAGCGTAGCGGTTTTTGTATTAATTGCCGCATGCATTCTTATGTAAAATGTGAATACTATAACTATCAGATGGCAATTGTGAGCAGCTTTGACGTGGTCTAGTGTTTTGAGTAGTTATGCTCACTAAAATGTCCAGACTTGTGGCGGCGTGGTGGGCCGGGTCATTGGGCTCCCTAAAATATGGTCGAGCGCAGTGATGGCTGGCTCATCCGTCATACTCGTGAACGGGTGCTGCTTGTAGGGACTGGTTTGCTCTAATCACTATGACTGATTTCCTCTTATTAATTGTTTAACCAGTTGGTTATGTATTCAATATTTTTTCTTTTTGAGTATTTAATTGAATTAGTGCTAATTGGTGGTTTGTATTCACACACTTAAACTTAAAAATGTAAAGTAATAATAAAATTATTTAAAAGAGCAACACGCAAGTTTCTTGCTCGTTCTTCTTGTGATGAGACAGCTTTCCGAACGAGCGGTAGATTAAAAAAAAATGTAATGACTATTCAAAAGTGCTTCAATGTAAGTTTATTTGAATAAATGATTTTCTATTCTATTCTATTCTAAGTTTATTTGAATAAATGATTTTCTATTCTGAGTATAACTTAATTATTCACATAGATCCTTTCTGCGTCCTGTACACGTCATATTTTTATCCCTATCCCTACTGTCCAGTTTGGCTAGGTGCTGTAGTTGTGAAGAACTGGTAACCTAACCCGCTTATAGTCAGTACGGTCGACTATGCACTGAGGAGTAATATCCGACATTCGCGACAACGTCGCCCGAGGCACGTTCTCATTGATCCCGACGACCCCATAACGGTAGTCAACCTCCCCACGGGCCCATCCGTCCACTCCGACCACACTTTTACACATTTACACGACACCGTCCTCGCCGGCGAAGACGACGACCTCACACACCTCGTATCGCGCAATCAACCGGGCGATTGAGCGCGCCCGGGCGCTCCACACCGGCGCCCCAGGTCGCCCCTTCCTTGGTTTGGAGTGCCATCTGCACTCGCCCCCTATCTTTCGGTGAAGCTGTAAAGGCCATCTGCGGCCAACAGTAGTCCGAAAAAAAAAAGAACTGGCAAGAAACTGTTCATATTTTTATCATAGTCTATAAAGTATTTATGATATGGGCCTAGTTACCTGAAATAAATAAATAAATAATAATAATAAACAATTGTGATATAAACATGAAACTAATATTATTACAAAAAATGATACGTTCACTTTACTTTATTAATTTTTTTTAAAAAAGGATATCCATCATCATCATCATTGCCTTGCCTTTATCCCATTATTTGTGGTCGGCGCAGTATGTCATTCTCTTCCACTGCTCTCTATCGGTCGTCATATCTGAACATCATCATCATCATCATCATTGCAGCCCGGAAGACGTCCACTGCTGGACATAGACCTCCCCCAAAGATCTCCACGATGATCGATCCTGCGCTGCTCACATCCAATGCCTTCCAGCGACCTTGACCAGATCGTCGGTCCACCTTGCTGGAGGCCTTCCCACGCTGCGTCTTCCGGTCCGTGGTCGCCACTCGAGGACTGTACTGCCCCAACGGCCATCTGTACTACGAGCTATGTGCCCCGCCCATTGCCACTTCAGAGTCGCAATTCTTCGGACTATGTCGGTCACTCTGGTTCTTCTGCGGATCTTCTCATTTCTGATTTGATCACGCTGAGTAACTCCGAGCATAGCCCTCTCCATTGCCCTCTGAGTGACTCTGAACATACTCTTCTTTTATTCATATCATCTTTCACACAATCCATCCATCTTGGTGATGAAAGTTTGTATGAAAGTTTGTCAATTTTAAACCCAACCGGCCGATTTTAAAACGTTTGCACAACATTTGGACAGCAAATATTAATAAAAATAGGAGATATATAAAATATATATAAATAATAATAATAATAAAACCCAGTAAAAGATGTACTAATAAAACATATACCAATAATAATAATAATAATGGAAATTTCATTTTAGCCGCTTATGAACGCCAAATTTTTTATATTATAATTTTTTCCCTACCATCCAGTTCAGTCTATAGATCCAATTGAGGAGAACTGGCAAGAAACTCAATTGAATTACTTATAAAATTCAATTTATATAGCATGTTAGGGAGTCTATCCGAAGATATAATAATAATCTCAGGACAATACACAGCGCTAGGCCCATGTTAAGCAACTAAAGCTTGTGTTATGGGCACCAAATAATAAACATTTAGAGTAATTCACGATTGTATATTTAGATCAAGTGCGTATCCTCCTGGAGGTGATATGCTCGGCCTCCTCCATGGAATCTGGTAGTTTGGTGCCGAGAGTCTCCGGCGTGGTGAACAGCAACAGCCCTGACAGCAATGCGAAACTTCCGAACAGTACTGATGGTAACGGATTCCACACCTCCTGTGCCTAAAATATACAGTCGATTCAATTTAAATTCATTTGTTACTTTATCTATCAGCTTATTCACTCTTGAAACCAATTCCGATCTGATCAGTAATCCGAATTGGAAGGGCTTATTCAAAATGCCTTTTATACATTTTATTGAATTAGATGTTATTTTATTTATATTATTAACAGGATCTTCAAATTCAAAATATCTTTATTCATGTAGGTCTATTACAGACTCTTATGATATGTCAAATCTACCGTCAGTTCGAAATGATTTCGAGATGAGAAGAACTGACAAGAAACTCAGCTCGTATTCTTTTCAAATAAATGTTATACAGGTTTACAATAATAGAGATTCATTTTTAAATTAAAATTTGGGAGAATAGAGTGATGATATTGCAAAAGAAAATAGTCTAATCGATGTTCGTAACCCAAATAGACCAGTCCCCACAAGCAGCACCCGTTCACGAGTATGACGTATGAGCCAGCCATCATTGCACTCAACCATATTAGAGGGAGCACATCGACCGATGACTTCAATAACTGTGGTCACGAGCTGAGAGTCAGCTCGTGACCACGGCTAGTGCAACCTAGTCAAAACTTAGAGAGAGATATTTGAAATACTAAAGGTATATGCCGTAAAATTATTCGTGTTAAGACCCGGTTAATAACATAAATTATTTATTTATTTTTTATTTTCAATTCTTGATGGATTTACATTAATTCCACTACTATTAGCATGTGTGAGACCATTAATATTCAGTTCGGAAACTAGACCACCGCTATTGGAAGAATCATGACTTTTACCATTAGTGACTAAATTCTGGTCATTATTTGATCTATACCCATATTGCAACAGGTGTTTTGTCTCTAAACGAGGCATCATCAGGCAATGCACAGAGTTTGGAAGCCTAGTGTCGACTATTCATTGAGGAGGGAGGAAGAGGAGAAAAATATAAATTCATTACGTAATTATATTCGTATATTTTCGTTCTCTTGAATTCTGTACTAGCAACGAATTAGTTCTATTTTCAGTTAATCTAAATATGTATATAACTCAAAGGTGACTGACTGACATAGTGATCTATCAACGCACAGCCCAAACCACTAGACGGATCGGGCTGAAATATGGCATGCAGGTAGATTTTATGACGTAGGCATCCGCTTAAGATTTTGATTAATTCTACCCTTAAGGGGATAAAATAGGGGATGAAAGTTTGTATGAAACTTTGTCAATTTTAATCCGATCGGGCTGAGACTTTGCATGCATAAAGCTACTATGACGTAGGCATCCCCTAAGAAAGGAATTTGATAAATTCCACCCTAAGGGGATAAATTAACGCGAGCAAAACCGCGGGCTAAAGCTAGTTCATAAATAAGCTGAGGAACCGACTGATTGAAGCACCGAAAGCAATAGGAAAAGTAGATAAAAACATCACTTAGATCGATCAGTACACCATTCTTCCAATATAAACGGTAGGTGTATTATAAGGGTTACACTTACCAGCGCTGGTGTGATTGGAGCTGTGATGGAACCCAATCTCCCGACCATGGAAGAAAAGGCGAAGAGGCTGTGCCTGTACTTAGTGGGAAATAACTCCGCAGTGTACACATATAGAGATGTTACAACCACCGAGATACTATATTTGCCAATCAAATACACGACCAAAGAGAGAGTATCCATTCCTGAAAAATAAACATTGGGTCAAAATCAAATGGGTGATAAGAAAATGCTATGACCATCTAGCTATTTGTTTAATCGAATTAGGTGTTATTTTGCGGAAGTCCATTTCACTATTTAATAGATTTATATTATTTTGTTTAATTCCGCTACAATTAGCACGTGTGAGACCAATATTGAGTGTGGAAACTTGACTACCGTTACGACCTTCTCTATTGGTGATCAAATTCCGACCGTTACTGAGTCTACACCCATATTGCGACATTTTAATGTTTCGTCTCTGAACGAGGTATCATTAGGCATTGGAGATGGATTGGATCGGATATAGCTTGAAGGTTGACTGTTCGGTGACCAAACCGCGACTTATCTATCTATTTATGCATCATTTGATGCAATAGATATAGGGTTTATACATATATAAGATCTTTCTTCCATCGAAGTAGACAGAGATATTATAACGTCAAATGATTTGATTCAAATAGACTTACTTCACATTTATCAATAAACTATTTATATAGGTTCAATTCAATTCAATACAAAATATTTTTATTCATATAGGTCTATTACAGACTATTATGATATGTCAAATCTACCGTAGTACGGAATGATTTCGAGATGAGAAGAACTGACAATAAACTCAGCTCGTATTCTTTTCAAATAAATGTTGTACATGTTTCCAAAAATTCGTTTAAATTCAAATTTAGGAGAATAGAGTGACCACCAGCATATGCTATTGGAAAGCAAAAAGTCTAATCAATAACAGCCTCTACTGCATTTACATCTCTCTACAAGATTTCAGTTCTTATTAAAGTATTTAAATCCTTTTTTAGGAAGTCTAGAAAACTCTTGTACATTTCTCTACAAGATATCAGTCAAAATTCAATAAGAAGAATACGTAAAAATTAAATAATTATATTTAACTAGTGATACCATAGATAGACTTAAAAATTCATCTGAGTAGGTACGTCTCAGATATATCAGCTATCATGTAATGTATACTCTACATAGACTATATTTCGGTTGTAGGATGCAGATTACTGCAGATCGGGTAGTGAAAGGACGAGATGCTGGATGAGAAGCATGACTTGTCCTCTAGAACGGTAACGCAAGAATGGTATTGCATTTTTTTTTATTTAGGGGTTTGTTGTTACCAGGTGCAATGACCTGTAACACTGCGACCTGTATAGATCTATTGTGCTCGCTTTTTCAAAGTTCGCTACCTAGACCCGTAAGGGACAAGAATTGAAGGATATTCTTAGGAGCGATGGTTTTTATCTCCTCAGAATATAGTGTATACTGCATTGCGGGTGATATATGGTAACATAGTATAGATATAGATAGCATGAGATCAGGTCAGTTTGCCGTCGTTACAAATTTATCAATAGAATTTATCACGATGGTTTCCAGGGGGAACCTGACATCGTACATTGCTAGCAATAACATAATCAATCCCTTTCCCCACAATAAGCTACGGTTAGTGCTTACCATCTGGTGATAGCTTGTTTGCCCTTACAATAAAAAAAAAGTATAATTAATTTTACCTTCAGGCATAAAACCAAAACTGAACTGGCATACAGCGCACATCCAATACGCGCAGATTAAAACCGGCTTTCTACCAATGCGGTCCAATAATAAGATCGCTGTCCAGTATCCAGGGATCTCTATTGCTGATACAAACACATAATTTAAATACTGGTTTCCAGACAGGTTCACAGAGTTGATGGCCATTCCGTAGTATACCAAAGTCATGGTGATCCACAATATTGGTGACACCGCACAACGAAGTAACATCACACGAGATCTGAATACAAGAGCCGGCAACCATGGTTCATTTACGGTCGTAGTTTGATTCCCTATTTCCTCCACTGCTCGTAATAATTTAAGAGACTTCTCAGATATTTCCCTCTTGTTAGTCTTTGCTACTTTTAGAAGAATCGCTTCAGATTCTTCGTAGCGACCTTTGCTCATGAGCCACCGGACGGATTCTGAGAGGATCCAGAAATAGCTGACCACTATTAGCTGTGGCGCGTAGAGTATCTGTGTGAGGGGTCGCCAGGATGGCACACCCCATGCTATCAGACCAAGAAGCACTTGGCCTACCGCGAACATGGTGGATAGGGTAGCACCAGCAATCACTCGATATTTGGGGCCGACCAATTCCGTTACTGTAATAAAACGAAGGTATATAATAAATTTAAGTTAATAATAGTATAATACAATCATTTAACTTCTTATTTCAAATTCAAGAAAGCATTATATTCAAATATTTTTAATTTGGGAATTAAAACATCATAAATTTCCTCTAATTTCTTATCATTCAGCCTAGTTATATCTGTTTCCATAAACAGATGTACGCCATTTTGCAATGATAATTAATTATTACAAAAGACACTAAAGCAAGCTAGATTGAAGAACGCAGGAATACCTGACCTGACAGTGCACGTCTTTGTTGTTCTCTATATATATTTACATTCTTCACTGCATGAAAGCCTACTGCACCATGAAACAACGTGCGTGTAAAGGCATATAAAAATTATAAATAAAATAAAAGATGAATTACCCAGGATATAGCAAGACGAGAAGCCACCAGCTCCAAGACAAGCTTCCAACACTTGCAAAGCGAGGAACCACTCATATGTATTGACAAAGGAGCGCACAAGTCCAATCCAGCCGGTGTTGAAAGCGTTAATGCTGAGTGCCACACGCCGGCCCCAGCGATCTGAAATATACCCGGTGATGGGTAGCACCACCAGGGTGCCGACTGTCCGAATGGTACCAATAAGGGAACGACGCCACTCATCACAAGCCAGTCTGAACTAAAAGATGAATAAGATAAAAATGATGAAGGAATGAATGAGATAATCAACTTTCATTTCAACCGTATTCCAATCTGAATTAGGTGAGACAATTCCTTAATAATACCATTGTATTTGAGGTTCATAGATTCAAAGCTAGTACATTCATAATTTCATCATCCTCCACGATGTTCCATCATTTTCTTTAAATCTTGACTTCAATTTTGTGTAATTAATTAGTTTTAACGTACCCTTGGTCTTCCCCTTCCCGTCTGTCCTACGATTTTGGCCTCTATAATAATTTTCATAAAACCATCCTCAAGTGTCCTAACATTTTCCTACGTCTATTTTCTATAGTATTCAATATCTGCCATTATTTCTTTTCCGGCAGAGAGGTGAGTGGGTGTATGGGATACATTCCCAACCAAAAACCTACGAGCGCCATTGTCGGAGTGCGTTACCATTCTACAACGAAACACCCTGTAGATGATCTATGGCAAGCCCAAGGAATAGGGCCAAATAGGTCGCCCTAACATCGTGTCTCGGTGTTAGGGCGACCTATTTCGTCCTATTCAGTTGTGGAGTGTGAGTATACGAGCACACCTCCGTGGCCATTTTGTTGACGCTCTGCGATGTACAACACCCTGATAAATAGCAAATAATATAAACATATTAAATTCCAATACTAACATCATAAACAACGCTGTAAGTGTTCTCATAAACATGATCCTCGCAGCTGATAATGGTGCTACTAAACCATGAAACTGGACAGGTCTCGTTTCCAGGAGTCTGGTAGCTTCTGTCAGCGTATCTCGTGCAGTCATCGAAGTCATCAACGCCGATGCCGGGTATTGCGTTCAATACCCATTCAGGGCGAAATTCTGGATGGGGAACGTCGGGATCGCATTGAGGAATGCGACATCTGAATAATAGTGTAATTGCGGTTTCAGAGGAGCTTCCTCCCACGTACACTTACATTGTGGAATGAACTACCTGCCGAGGTTTTCTCACGAGACTACAGCATGGAGTTTTTCAAAGTTTATTAATATTAAGATTTCTTAAAGATCGGCAACGCGCATGTGATGCACCTGGTGTTTCAGGGGTCAAGGCTATAGTAACCATTTACCATCAGATGGGCCGTATGCCTGTTTGTCACTAAAAAACTTTAATGCATAAAAATAATATATAAATATTTTATGCGAAATTCATTTAGGCGAACTTAACACTAGAGTTCTCTACCAGTCAACAATAAGGAAAACTGAGATATTATTAAACGGCGCTTTATGGCTTACAAACATACCTACATATATGGTAATTTTTCGTCATTATTCATAAATATAATATCCAATTAGTATAATATCCAGTTACTACTTTTGCTTACATGATAAATCCTTTTATTGTTTTTGTTTCTTTTTCTCTTATCTCAGTTTTCTATATGTTTCTATTTTACCCAACTAGGCTGTACGGTCTAAGAGTCTTTGCCTGTTCCATCATTGAAAAGGAGATGGACGAATATGGGGGAAAAAAAATATGAAGAAGTTTAAACGTAGACTAGGCTGTACGGTCTAAAGATCTTTGCCTGTTCCATCATTGAAAAAGAGATGGATGAATATGGAAAAAAATCTCTGTGGTTCTGTAACTGTCAAACTATTTGGTATATATATATATCCCTTATGTATGTTTATATTTTGGGTTCTGTATATATTGTTTTTCATTTACTATATTATATTTGCACAGCTATCAATTATTCTCTGCACTACTTGTGGTTGAATGGTAGAAACTGCTGCATGAAATTATGTCCGCCAAATGTACTACATTTTGTATTATGTGCATTGAAATTAAATAAATAAATATACAACATTGCATTTTGATCAGTTTAAAAGTTTGTACATGAATCAAACAAATCAAAATTTATTTCCGCATTTATATTATTACTGGTTTTTTTTTCATCAAAATCCGTTCAGTAGGTTTTGCGTGAAAGAGTAACAAACATCCATACTCACATACTTTCGCGTTTATAATACTAACAAGATTGAAATAAAGAAACGGAGAGAACCCCAATTATAACCGTTATTGCAACCAGCCTGGTACTAATCTAATTACCTGGTAGGTACCCTGGCAGCAGTGAAAATATATTCACCAGTAAACCCTCCAAATATTGCAGGCAGGGATGCTAGCGCCAGTGTAATAAGTTGGTATCGACCAAATTGCCCGATTTCTTGTACTAATATTAGATCTAGATCGACGCCAGTGTTGCCAGTATCAGAATTGTCTGATTCCCCATTTTTAGTGCTGGCCATACTCTTAGTAGGCTGGTACCTTTTAATCGAGACTAAAACAATAATATTTATTTCTAATATGAGGGTAGAAATAAGCTTACCATATAGTGGTTTCGAAATAATATATAATCATCATTATTAGAGAATGAAACTTTATTGTAACAATTAGGACTGTTTTGTTGTTTCACATGATTGAATTTCGATGGTTTAGCATCACACCTTACTTTTGATGATCGCGGGTTCGATTCCCGATACGGTAGAAACATTTGTATGAGTATGATTGGGTGTTATTTTTGTAAATGTATCTGTGTATTTATATCAGTTCCCCGTAACACAAACTCTGGGATTGGATGGCGCTATGTGAATTGTCCATAAATATTATTGTACATGATTAAACGAAGTTTACAAGTGATATTCAATCAGTATTCAAAATATCTCTATTCATGTAGGTCTATTACAGACTCTTATGATATGTCAAATCTACCGTCAGTTCGGAATGATTTCGATGAGACGAGAAGAACTGACTACAAACTCATTTCGTATTCTTTTCAAATAAATGTTGTACATGTTTACAATAATACACAGTCATTAAAATTCTAATTTGGGAGAATAGAGTGACCACCAGCATATGCTATTGCAAAAAAACAAAAAATCTAATCAGTGTTCGCAACCTGAACAGACCAGTCCCCACAGCACCCGTTCACGAGTATGACGGACAGAAAGTCGTATAAAATCTCTATAATAATGATCATTACCCAGGACAATTCACATAGCGCCACTTAGTGCCAACCTGAGCAAAGCTCGTCTTGTGGGTACTAAAGAACTCAAAAAAAAACTCATATATATATTATTTGTGTATATAAAATAATAGTAATAATATAATCGTAACCTGAACAGACCAGTCCCCACAAGCAGCACCCGTTCACGAGTATGACGGATTTGTTATATGAATACGCTTCGTCCGAAGATACACGACAAGTGTTTAATCATTGTAATACTGAAAAGAAATACTTACAAACAATAATATTGCCCAAACTATATGCACAGCACTCCACAAGTACAATACTAACATATCTTTTGCATTATGACAGATCTCTGATAATCCAATTTAAGATAATAAGATATTATCTCGCGTACATATCTCTAAATTCTCTTTGACGACCTCGGTGGTCTAGTGGTCTAGCACACCGCTTTACGACCGATGGTCGTGGGTTCGATTCCTCGCACGGTACAAACATTTGAATTCATGAGTATGATTGTTTGTATCGGTCTGGGTGTTTTCTATGTATAATATGTATGTATTTACAAAAAAAAAAATATCTATGTATTTGTATCAGTTACCTAGTACCCATAACACAAGCTTTAGCTATCTTAACTTGGGTCTAGATGGCGCTGTGTGAATTGTCCTGAGATTATTATTATTATTATTATAAAATTCCTTGATATTCATATTTTGGACTCTAATGATTCCAAACGATTGGCCATAGTGCATATTATACTAGCTGTGTCCGCTGTTTCACCCTTATTTAATTTTAATATAAAATATACCTTATGTGTTATTCTGATGCATAAGCTATATTACTGTAAAGTTTCATCAAAATCCGTTCAGTAGTTTTTGCGTGAAAGAGTAACAAACATCCATTCTTGCATGGCAATAGTTGTTCATGCACGGAATTTTAATTTAATGTTAGACATAGGCACCTGTATAAATATACATTGTAAATAAACAGGCTTTTAATAAGATAATTACAATTTAATTTCTTACTATATATTCTCAATCTAAATTTATATAACTCAAAGGTGACTGACATAGTGATCTATCAACGCACAGCCCAAACCACTAGACGGATCGGGCTGAAATTTAGCATGCAGGTAGATGTTATGACGTAGGCAACCGCTAAGAAAGGATTTTGATTAATTCTACCCCCAAAGGGATGAAATAGGGGATGAAAGATTGTATGGAACTTTGTCAATTTTAAACCGATCGGGCTGAGACTTTGCATGCATAAAGCTACTATGACTTATGCTTCCCCTAAGAAAGGATTTTGATATATTCCACCCCTAAGGGGATAAAGAACGCGAGCGAAGGCGCCGGCAAAAGCTAGTTGGATATATATACTGAACTGGACGGTAGGGAAAAAACTACTTGACGTTTTTAAACGGCTCAAATGCATGTAGGACTCATGAATAAATGATTTTTGATGTGATTTCGCGAAGAAATAATTTTATATCATGCTACGGAGCGGCAGTAACGAGTGACTATTAATTTCTTTTTACATTTATATGTACTTTTCACTTCGAGCGTTTAAAACGAACTGGTCTGTGCACACTTGTTTCTTTTCCGACTATTCCAATGCTGTTGGCCGCAGCTGGCCTTTACAGCTTCACCGGACGATAGGGGGCGAGTGCAGATGGCACTCCAAACCAAGGAAGGACTTATGGAGCGGCTGAAGGCCAACTCCCGCCTGACGGATACGACTTTAGTCTGAGGACACCGCTAGGGGTTCGAACCTCGGTTCAGGCTGTAACATTGGTCCCCGTTTGAATTGGACCGATCGATCGGAGGGGATCTGTGCATACAATATGGTGGTTCTTTTTAAAGTCAGTAGGCAGGTGGGACTGTTATGTTCAAATAGGAACTTATATCTTGTACTCAATAATAAACATGATTATATCAAACTTGTAGAACATACATTTTATGTCATAATTATAATTAGATTTAATCTATACTATTTATATATTTACTTTAGAGTTTATAAGTATATATATATATATATATATATAATATTAATTAAATAAAAATATATTGTGGTGGTTATCTCACTCAACCCAGATGGCGTTGTAGTAGCTGAAATATGCTTTAGCGGGGCACGCTGGTGAACGGTGACCATTGACGGTAACAATCATTACTTCAATGGAAATTGTAAATAGGTATTAAATAAAAAATTCTTTCTTCTGATTGATTCGAGAACATACAACACATTTTACATTTAATTAAAAATCTATAACATTAAACAACTGTCACATTTCGGACACTTTTATAATTAACAATAAACAAATCCACAACCTTAATTTAACTATATCTGTACAACAGATATGTTGATAAAACCACAGATAAAGAATTATATAATAACATTACAAAAAAAAAAATTTTTTTCGGACTACTCTAATGCTGGCCGCAGCTGGCCTTTACAGCTTCACCGGACGTTATGGGGCGAGTGCAGATGGCACTCCAAACCCGCGGAAGGACTTATGGAGCGGCTGGAGGACAACTCCCTCCTGACGGATACGACTTTAGTCTGAGGGTACCGCCGATCCCCATAAACTTGTATAAAATTACCATATAAAATTACTCTTTAATAATTATATAAAAATTGAAAGTCAGTAATCAGTGTCGGTGTCGTTGTGCTGGTCCCTTGGCTTGATTATGCCAAGCTTTGTGGCCAGGGAGGCGACGTTGGCCCGCACCTCCTCCTGCACCAAGTTGAACGACATGGCCAGTAATGCTATACCGAACAGCAGGTACAGAGAGCAAAGCGCTATGGAGTGGACTGCAGCCGCTGGATCTTCCAGACTTTGACCCTGGAAACACAGTATATATCTCAGGATGGTTCACACATCGCCATCTAGTCCTAAGCTAAGCAGAGCTTGGGTAGTAGATAACTGATATAAATACATAGATAGATTTGTAATGTAAATACATACACAATATACTTAGAAAACACCCAGATCGATACAATTATACTAATAAATAAAAATGTTTTTAACGTAAATTCGAACTGGCGACCATCGGATGTAAAGCTGTGTACTGAACCGCTAAACCACCGAGGTCGTCATAGGTATATTATGATTGTCTGAGAATTCGTATTTTATGCATAGATCCCTCCTTGAAGGAGGTCTATTATTGGAGGGAAGGAGATTGTTAGTAATGTGGACTCATGACCCCATTTTTTTTTATATAACACAGGGGACAAACGAGCATGCGGCTCACCTGATGGTAAGTGATTACCGCCGCCCATGAGCACTCGCGACACCAGGGGAATTGCAAGTACGTTGTCGGCCTTTTAAAAAGGAATAAGCTCTTTTCTTGAAGGTTTCAATATCGTATCAGTTCGGAAATACCATTGCTGGAAGGTGATTCCACAATGTGGTTGTGCGAGGCAAAAAGTTTCTAGAAAATCGCACTGTGGAAGACCGCCATTCATCCAGATGATCAGGATGGTATTTCAGTTTCTGGCGGGTGGTACGGTGGTGAAACTCAGCAGCTGGTATTAATCCGAACAATTCCTCAGATTATTAGTCCATATCAGGTAGACCTGCACGCGATTCTCCCTGGAACTATCGTGACAAATTGGCCAGGAGTTTCCTGGCGAATTTGTCACGATGAGCTAACTGACCTGAACGTCGGTACCTACAGGAGGAAAAGGGATTTTTAGTAATGTGGATTCATGACCCCATTATTAGTAATGTACCATATCAGGTTGACCTCCACGAGGTTCCTAAATACCATCGAGAAAAATTCCTAGTCAATTTGTCACGATGTGCTAACTGACACCTCATGCTCATCTTATCATCCTCCACTGGTGCCCCGCCAGCGTAAACCGTTAGCGCAGGCGGGTGCCTTCCATAATCCATTAAAAAAACACACTTATTTTTGTATATCTTCACCTGTGCAGGCACGAAGTCCCCGAATCCGATGGTGGTGAGTGTGATGAAGCAGAAATAGGCAGCGTCCAGGTAGGCTAAAAAAACACACTTATTTTTGTATATCTTCACCTGTGCGGGCACGAAGTCCCCGAATCCGATGGTGGTGAGTGTGATGAAGCAGAAATAGGCAGCGTCCAGGTAGGCTAAAAAAACACACTTATTTTTGTATATCTTCACCTGTGCGGGCACGAAGTCCCCGAATCCGATGGTGGCGAGTGTGATGAAGCAGAAAACGCCACCAGGAACACGCACAACCAGATCGGCACCGGCTTTATCTGAATATCATAAAGAAATCTATTCCGTCATACTCGTGCACTGACTGAGTCTGTTATAAACCTACATGAATAAAGATGATTTTTTCTTATCTAATTAGGTGTTATTTCACTACTTAATGGATTTATATCATTTTGTTTACTTCTACTACAATTAGCATGTTTGAGATCAGAAATGTTTAGTTCGGAAACTTGACTACCGTCTACTACTACTCATTTATTTGATTTATCGATCCCCACAAGCAGCATCTGTGCACGGGTGCTGCTTGTGGGGATTGAACCCGAACAAATCGATCGATCGATCGATCTGTTTGGGTTACGGATACTGATTATGCAATTTTTTTGTAATAATTTCAGGACAATTCACACAGCGCCATCTAGACAAGTTAAGCTAGCTAAAGCTTGTGTTATGGGTACTAAATAACTGATACAAATACATATTTTTTTTTTTCGTAAATATAATACATACATGTTATAAATACCTAGACCGATACAAACAATCATACTCGTGAATACAAATGTTTGTGCCGTGCGAGGAATCGAACCCGCGGCCGTAAGGCGGTGTGCTAAACCGCTAGACCACCGAGACCGTCAAATATCATATTTGCTTTTGAAAAATTGCAATAGCATATGTTGGAGATCAGTCTATTCTACCTAATTTAAAAATGAATCTGTATTATTGTAAACATATTCAACATTTCTTTGAAAAGAATATGAGCTGAGTTTCTTGTCAGTTCTTCTCATTTCGAAGTCATTCCGAAGTGACGGTAGATTTGACATATCATAAGAGTCTGTAATAGACCTCCATGAATATTGGTTTTGATTTGATTTGATTTGTTATGAGATGTTAGAGCGTTTAAACCAAACTGGTCTGTGCACACTTGTTTCTTTTCCGACTATTCCAATGCTGTTGGCCGCAGCTGGCCTTTACAGCTTCACCGGACGATAGGGGGCGAGTGCAGATGGCACTCCAAACCCGCAGAACTTATGGAGCGGCTGAAGGCCAACTCCTGCTTAACGGATACGACTTTAGTCTGAGGACACCGCTAGGGGTTCGAACCTCGGTTCAGGCTGTAACATTGGTCCCCGTTTGAATTGGACGGGGGATCGATCGGAGGGAAACTGTGCATACAATATGGTGGTTCTTTTTAAAGTCAGTAGGTGGGACTGTTATGTTCAAATCGGAACTTATATCTTGTACTCAATAACAAACATGATTATATCAAACTTGTAAAACATACATTTTATGTCATAATTATAATTAGATTTAATCTTTACTATTTATATATTTACTTTAGAGTTTATAAGTATATGTATATATATATATATATATATATATATATATATATATATATATATAAATATCCCCTTGGGCACTTTGTGGCTCAGACGTGCCGTATAGGTAGTTTTTTGTTGATCCTTTTTCACTTGTTGATCCGGAGGCCTTTTGTTGATCTAATGCCAGCTGACGATATATAAATGTTGATCCTTTTTGAGCCACAACTGTCACGACGAGTAATAATAATAATTAAGTGATTTATACACGATTTTATACAAATCCACCTTTTTGGCATACGAGCACTTCTTGATCCAATTCAAACGGGCCAATCAGGGTGCAGCATTTGCCAAGGGCTTCCTCATTGGCACGTTTGGGCTACTACATTATGGCTACAGTAACTTAATAATGTCTAGCTAGTATTTCAAGAATAATAGTCTATCTAATCTAAATATTTATAGAAATCAGTCTGGAGTAACGTGACTCCAGATCAAACCTCAATACTTGTTATTTTTTGGACGGGAATCTTTTCTTTTGTAACAACGTTACTGAGCGAATAAAGAGAAGACGCAACGGCGGATCCAGGGGGGTGCGTCATGGAGGTCATGGGAGTCATGGGGGCGTCATGACTCCCCCCCCCCCCCCCCCCCCTTAGCCCAGAACTTAGGTAGACCACTAATTGAACTAAAAAATAATGAAACAGCAAATTTTTTTGCACGATCGGAGTGTTGGTGCAGTAGTATTAATTATAATTAAACATTGTTACTTAAAACATAACAGTTAAAGTACTATAACACTAAAAGCAAAATAGGTATTTTCAAAATACTTTTTCAAAATAAATTACCCTTTGAGTTTTTGTCCAAACCTCAGATATTTTATTTATTTTAGGTATATCAATCAATACATAGTATAGCATAGTACAGTCTGTCTGTCTGTCTGTTTGTTCCGGCTAATCTCTGAAAGAGCTGGACCGATTTTGACGGGACTTTTTTTGGCAAGTAGCTGATGTAATAAGGAGTAACTTACGCTACTGTTATTTTAGAAAAATAAAATAAAATTTCACGCGGACGAAGTCGCTGGGGCCAGCTAGTCTATAGATATACCGAGATTTAATGTTTAAGTTGCTATTATGTTATTGACAAAATTTTACTGTAATGTTTACTACATGCATATGAATATATATAAGGTACATATACCAAAATAACTATTTTTATAATTTTAGTCTGTCTGTCGGTCTGTTTGTTCCGGCTAATCTCTGAAATGGCTGGACCGATTTTGACGGTACTTTTTTTTGGCAGGTAGCTGATTTATAAGGAGTAACTTAGGTTACTTTTATTTTAGAAAAATAAAGTTAAATTCCACGCGGACGAAGTCGCGGGAACACCTTGTTTTTAATAAAAACATCTTTTTTGTGGTACTTGAGAATGTTGAAGCCTGTTGTTTGTAATATTGAAATAACCGTTTTTTACTACTTGCATATGAATATAAATACGGTACATACACCAAAATAACATATTTTACAATTTTTGTCTGTCTGTCTGTTTGTTCCGGCTAATCTCTGAAATGGCTGGACTGATTTTGACGGGACTTTTTTTGGCAGGTAGCTGATGTAATAAGGAGTAACTTAGGCTACTTTTATTTTAGAAAAATAAAGTTAAAAACCACGTGGACGAAGTCGCGGGAACAGCTAGTGTATAATATATTAGAGATACCTACGTGTTTTTTTATTGATGACTAGCTGTACACGGGATTTCGTCCGTGTTGAATTTAACTTTATTTTTCTAAAACATAAGAAGTTAAATTCCACGCGGACGAAGTCGGGTGTACAGCTAGTTGTCGGTAGTCTAGCGATTTAGCTAGCACACTGCTTTGATTCCTGCTTGGTGGTCGAGGGTTCGATTCCTCGCACGCTGCAAACATTTGTATTCATGAGTATGATTGTTTGTAACGGTCTGGGTGTTTTCTATGTATAGATAATATATATGTATTTACGAAAAAAAATCTTTGTATTTATATCAGTACCCATAACATAATCTTCAGCTAGCTTAACTTGGGTCTAGATGAAGCTGTGTGAATTGTCCTGAGATTACTATTATTACTATAATAAATCTTTTCAAATCAGCCGATGTTTATTTTTGCCATAATACGTGCTGTTACCATGTGATAATATTACGTACGTACTTATTAAACTATTAACTTATTATTAAATTATTAACTATTTATACTGTTTTAAATGTGATGCGTTCATTATTTATATTTCCTTTGAATTAAAGACAAATGTATATATATATATATATATTTATATACACTTGCACACTTAGTTGATCCAGCCACGATCCGTAGATATTGCTGATCCACTGTCTCTCTCTTTCTATCACTATCTTTGTATTCTAATATGCGATGTTGCCGTTCCGGCCGAGACCATGCGTTGTTGCCAAATGTATTCGTCGATAGTAGTAGATACTTATACTCGATATATATTTTTTCAACAATTTCCTGCAATAGTGAATCCGTATCGGCATTTTTTTTAAATGCACAAAGATTTTTTGGCTCTGAATATATTTAAAAATCATTTACTTGTGTGTTGATGAATTTATATACTAGTACATGAAGTACCTAATACTTGTTTTGATTTGAATAGGTAGCGATATTATGAATTTATTATACGTAATCTAAAGATTTTGACGAAATAAAAGTAATTAGTTATCTGTTAACCTTGACTTCATGCTGGCACCAGTATTATCAGATGATGAACATACTCTTCGGAAACTTACAGCAGAAATATCGTGTTTGGACTCATTAGATAGGTCTCGATGAATAGAGTTTAAAAAACTTAAAATAAATGGTAAATTAGAAATAATGTATAAAAACCCCTTACGTAAAATTCAACCACTTTAAACTTAATAATAATAATAATTAGGAAAAGAGAAAAGCTATACATGCACTGAAAGTAATTGATGCCTTCCACACAATATTTTCAGTATTAAACAACTCTGTTTGTTCAGTAAAAGTGTAAATACACTGGTAACCTTTAATCATATTTTATATGCAAACATTACATATACAAACACTAAAGTTTTATTTCAGAATAGCCAGTAGTTTTCAAGAAATAAGTCTTTGAAATTGTACGTGTAACTTATATATATACCTACTAGTTTTTTCACCATAACAAACAACACCAATATGGCCTAGTTAGTAGTTTACCTGTGTACCAATTAATAATAATAGTAATCTCAGGACAATTCACACAGATTCATCTAGACCCAAGTTAAGCTAGCTGAAGATTATGTTATGGGTACTGATATAAATACAAAGATTTTTTTCGTAAATACATATATATTATCTATACATAGAAAACACCCAGACCGTTACAAACAATTTAATAATAAGTTAATAGTTTAATAAGTACGTACGTAATATTATCACATGGTAACAGCACGTATTATGGCAAAAATAAACATCGGCTGATTTGAAAAGATTTATTATAGTAATAATAGTAATCTCAGGACAATTCACACAGCTTCATCTAGACCCAAGTTAAGCTAGCTGAAGATTATGTTATGGGTACTGATATAAATACAAAGATTTTTTTTTCGTAAATACATATATATTATCTATACATAGAAAACACCCAGACCGTTACAAACAATCATACTCATGAATACAAATGTTTGCAGCGTGCGAGGAATCGAACCCTCGACCACCAAGCAGGAATCAAAGCAGTGTGCTAGCTAAATCGCTAGACTACCGACAACTAGCTGTACACCCGACTTCGTCCGCGTGGAATTTAACTTCTTATATTTTAGAAAAATAAAGTTAAATTCAACACGGACGAAATCCCGTGTACAGCTAGTCATCAATAAAAAAACACGTAGGTATCTCTAATATATTATACACTAGCTGTTCCCGCGACTTCGTCCACGTGGTTTTTAACTTTATTTTTCTAAAATAAAAGTAGCCTAAGTTACTCCTTATTACATCAGCTACCTGCCAAAAAAAGTCCCGTCAAAATCGGTCCAGCCATTTCAGAGATTAGCCGGAACAAACAGACCGACGGACAAAAATTGTAAAATATGTTATTTTGGTGTATGTACCGTATTTATATTCATATGCAAGTAGTAAAAAACGGTTATTTCAATATTACAAACAACAGGCTTCAACATTCTCAAGTACCACAAAAAAGATGTTTTTTTATCAAATAAACAGTTTTTATTAAAAACAAGCTGTTCCCGCGACTTCGTCCGCGTGGAATTTAACTTTATTTTTCTAAAATAAAAGTAGCCTACGTTACTCCTTATAAATCAGCTACCTGCCAAAAAAAGTACC